GGGAGAGTGAGGCAGGAAGATCAGGAGTTTGAGGCTAGCCTGGGCTACATGAGACCTTGTTTAAAAAAGAAATCTTGATTCCAGATCTCTATTTCCTTTCTCATACCAACAGATGGGCTTTACTCTGGTCGTACACAACTGCGGACTCCACGTCACTTGTAAGCTCAGTAATTATCTGAAGAGCTGCTGCTGGAGCTCAGTGACAGAATGCTGGCCTGAACACAAGGCCCTGTGTTTGATCCTCAGAACTGCTTTAAAAAAGAAAGAGAGAAAAAGAATTATTTTTAGAGACAGGAAGTAAAAGAAATGACATACTCCACTGGACCTAGAAACCCTACCAACTAAGTCTTTTTTATTTTATTTTATTTTATTTTAGGCAGGGTTTCAATGTAATCCAGGCTGGCCTTGACCTCTGCTTCAGTCTCTGGAGTGCTAGGATTACAGGCAAGAGTCGTCACACCCTGTCTTTTTGTTATTTTTTTTAATGCAAACACTTAATGTTATAGACACAGAACAGAACTCTTGAGTCAATTCTGGATAATTCTGACCTACCAGCACAGGGAAATGCTTCCCCCCTCTTCTGTTGCAACGAAGTAAGCCAGGCTTTGAAAAGCACGTATCTGCATGTCCATTTTAAACAGAGATAACATCCTTCAGGAGCCTTCTACTTCCTGGTCCCTCTTCTCCCCTCAACTTAGTAAGATAAAATTTGCCCCCAGGAGTCTGATCCTTACAGAGCCAGACTCAGAAAGTGACATCATTCAGACTTGCCAGAGCACTGCACTTTTCATGGGATTTCAGGACTTCCAGTCACTGTTTCAGCTTATTCATTTGAGGTTGTTGTTGTTGTTGTTGTTTCGGATTTGTTTTGTTTTCTCTGGCATTTTTATATAAATGGGGCAACCAGGCAACTGTTCAAATGTACTTCTGCCTCCCTGAATGCAGTTGGCAGGGTCACATTGATAGACATTACTGTGTTTCTTGTTCCCTCCCTTTTTCCTAATTAGACAAGATTTCAGGAAAGTGGTAGAGGTGTCAAGTTTGACGCAAACTGCCTCTATTTGCACGTACACGGGTTTTCTGTCTCCAAGTGCCTCTTGTTACACTTTGTCAGTTCATACTGACCAGAGAGCAAATCTCTGGTAGGGCAGTCACACAGGGACACTAAGGTCATCCTACTTCCCTCCACTGTGGGCCTTTTGTGTGTGTGTGAAGGTTGATCAGTCAGTTCTGTAATCTGAAATAGTTTTCTATTTAATGAGCAGAAATCCAGAAATAATTAAGACAATAAGCATATACACGCATTCAAGGCAGCAACTGTGTGCATCTTTGGAAAAGGAAAAGAAATCTTGAGATCATTGACTTAACTAAGCTCCTCCCTGGCAGAAAGGAAAAATATACTAATTCATTCGTTTCTCTGGTGAGATCACAGCAGTAGAAGCGCGGATTCAAAAATTCCCCTCAAGTTCTAAGATTTTCAATGAACTGTTTATTTAAATCATTCATAACCAAGTTTATAAAGTAAGATACAAGTTACCAAAGGACACTATCATTTTAGTTTAATCTGATAATTGCTATCCCTTTTAGCCTTTGCTTGAACTCTGAGTGGTGGGGGTCTTCACCAATAACACAGTAGAAGCTTTCCTTTCTGTTAAATCTGTAACTGTATCCTGATTTTATCACTCTGAAGACTTCTGAATATTTACAACCTAAGAAAAGTCCTGTTTCTCTAACTCAAGGCCTTTTACACACACACACACACACACACACAAATCCCACATATCATAAAAAAGCATTCCTATTTAAAATTAAAAATCCCAGTGTCTAGAAATTTTCTTTATAATTAAAAAAACTTTCAGTTCAACTTGATTCCCTAACATCTATAGACCCAGTCAGTGATCATTTCCAAAAAAAGTTTCCCCCAAAACTATTTCAAATGCCTTGATGAGCAAGCATACCTCCAGTTGAATGTCTCAAGTCTAAGGCAGACTTATTTTTCTCAGCTGCACCCAAGACCCTTCAAATTGCTGCTGCACCCTCTCCTCCCTCGCTATCTACAATTATTTATCAAGGTAATTTCTGACTATTACTTGGAAAAAATGAAAGAAAAAATTATGTGTCATTTTCCAGAAGATAACTGCTTTAAAACAGCATTTTAGCGAAGGTGGGAGCAGGAGCTACACGTTGTGCATTTTCTTTCTGGTTCCTATTTGCCCCGTGAGAAATGTTTGACTCCCCTCCTGGAAGTTCCCCAGCATTCTGGTTGGTGAGCTGTGTCCCCCTTTTAATCTCCAAATGTCCTTCAGGAAACTTTTAAAGGTGATTTTTATCACCCTCAGTCAGGAAGGGCCTAATACGTGAGAAGCCATGTCCAGAACCGGCTCGCTACGATGTCCTAAGAAAATCCTTGAGAAACAAACCATCTTTGAAAAAATATTTGAAGATTGTTCACTTGAGTAAATACTTAAGCCTGCACTCCCTCGCTTTCTTGGGCCCCAAGCCATATTACTCAGCCTCAAAAAATTCATCAATATTCAACTGGTTCTCTTAATATGCTGATGTAGCAAAAGGAGTTTAATAAAGAAAGTTGCTGCCATTTTTCTTCAGAGGACCTGTCACAAATTTATCTTTCATCTTCCGTGCTGGAATCTTCTGGTATTTACGTAGGAAAATTAATGTTTATGTGCAGGAATCCAAACATACGGACCCACCAAGCCGAATCTTAAAAGCCCAAAGAAAGCCTCTCACCCCCAAGGACTCAGGAACTGTATGAATGATGTAGCCGAGGATTTAGAAGCCTGTTCAGTCACCTCAGACAAGCCGGCAAACTTTCCGCCCTGTCCACGAGTTCTGAAGATACTAATAGAAAAAAAAAATCGTAGGTCCTAATAGTAGTTTCAAGTGCCCACCGAAACTGTCCATGTTGTCCTCTGTGATGAAAACAAAAATCCCGAAAAGAAAATGTTGGTCTGTGAAATATTTTTTGACTAATTTTTTCCAGCGGTTTTCCAGACCCTGGAAAATTCTACTCTCGCATCCCCCCCCCGCAAAAAAAAAAAACGAAAATAAGCCCAAATCATCAGAATAAGGCCACGCGAAACCTTGAGACTTTGTGATAGTCCTCGCAAAACTCAGTTTTTAGATCAGCCCTGAAGAAATATGACAGTAAAATACAGAAATACGGTGAAAGTTTCGCAGCGCGAGAAGCAGCAGCGCTGAGCCCCGCGGAATCCGTGGTTTTAGTTTCTGCCTGCCATTTTCGCGCGTGTGAGTGTGTTCACCCGCTTTCCGATTGCCTTTCCCCCCTCTTTTGGCACCTGGTAGGTTTTGCCTTAGGTGTTCCACCTCCCTCATGCGGTTCCAAACTATCCCGCACTCATTCTACCCTCAGCGACGAAACTTAAGCTTGGCTCTGGGAGCAAGGAAGACCCCATGGCCACACCGCAGCTACCAGGGTGCCACTCAACTAGTGGCGATTCACGGACGGATGTCCGGATATCCTTGCTAGTCAATGGCGCCGCGGAACCCACTAAGTCCCAGACCAGACAAGAGATGGCTGGAGTGGAGTTTTAGCCAAGAGCTGCCAGGACAATAACTTCTCTCTCCGAGTCCCCAAGCAAAGTGCTAAGTAGTTCCTGTGTAGCGCCTTTCGCCCAGCACTCCACCTGCCCCTGTGGCCCCTTCTGGTCATCTTCTGGTGTCGGGATTGTGGCTGTTGCACGCCAGCGATACCCAATGTCCTCATTCAAACCCATCTAAGTTTACATCCCACTCGCTCAAAGATTTGTCCAACCCGGGAGAGGGGAAAAGAAAGAAGCCGGTTTATTTTTTAGCATCCAGACGCTATTTTATAAGGGATTTCTTTCAGATTTATTTCTTTATTTATTAGGTTTTTTTTTTTGAGGCAGTCTCTCACATCCCCCAGACTGTCCTCGAACTTGGTATGTAGCCAAGGATGCCCTTAAACTTCTGTTTCTTGTGCTCCACTTCCAAATGCTGGGACCTCAGGCATGAACCACCATACCTGGTTTCTCCAGATTTGTGTTATAATGATAAGAAAGTTGCGAACAATGAAAGGCTGTTTACTCCCCATCAGATGCAACATTATCTGTTCGCTCATTGCAATATATTCCCCCTTCTCTCTGAGAGTGTGTGTATATCAGCGGCATCATTTGAAAATCGCGGTCATCGTTATACTTCATCTCTCTATACTTTGGCACAGATCTTGTAACAATGTGGACACCCTGCTATTAACTTCAATACTATCCTCACACCTCCCTAGTAAACATCGTCGACCCTGAGGTTACCTAGCAAACAGAAAAAAAAAAGACTCTCTTTCCCTACTTAAGACTCAAAACTTGTCATAAAGACTTCCCTTCTTGGACTAGACAAACATATAAACTGTTGTGCCCTGCCTCAGTGTCATGCCCACCTACCAAAGCGGACCGCCAGGACCTAAGGGAGTCCTCTAGCCTAGGGAGAGTTTGGCAGTGGCCAGAGAGCAGAAGCCCCAAGGGATCTGGAACACAAATGGCGCGCTGAGCACTCCCCTCCTGCTGTCTGAGGGTCCCTTGTTTCCCCAGCCTGTTTCAGGCACCCCCAAGAAAAACAATCCCAAGAGGCTTTGCTTAGCCACCCTGCGCCCCCCAGCAGCCCAGAGGACTAGTAAAAGGAGTGGCATTTGTGACACGGGTCTTTGAGCTGAAGCTAAGCTATCTTGTGTCCTTGGCTTTGCTTTTTCCCCCTTTCCCCTTTCTCCCTTTTTTTTTTTTTTTCTTCCCAGCACCCACAGGCTATGAGGCTCTGTACGTGGCCACTGCAGGCTCCCCACGTCCTTCCCAGCCCTTCCTGGCTGCGGGCCAAGGCTGTGGCTCTGAGCGCCCGCACGGCCTCCCCCCTTCCCCCTTCCGCCCCCAGGCCTCCAAACGGAGCCGGCGAATCGCCGGGCGGGGCGCGGAGCAGCGCCTGGCCACACCCCCCGGGCCGGCTTTTTCTAGGGCTGCTGCGGGCCACTGGGCGCTGGCTGCTCCTGCTCACCTCTCCGGGTGCGCTCAGCTCCAGCCCTGCTCCAGCCCAGCTCCAGCCCAACTCCAGCTCAGCTCCAGTCCAGTTCCAGTCAGCTCCAGCCCGGCTCCTGTTCTCCAGCACACGCGCCTCGCCCTCGTCTCGACCCTCGACTTTCGGTCCCTCTGTCGCTCAGTGTCCCGCACCCCGCGACCTCGCGCCCTCCCAAGTCCCTGTGCCCGCTCTTCTATTCCCACAGCCCCGCCACAGCCCTCTGCCCTTGCTCTCTAGCTCTCTGTCTGCCAGTAGGTCTGTCTGTCTGTCTGCCTCCCCACCCTCCTTTTTCTTCCTCTGTCCCGCTCTGCTGGCTTGTTCGCCAGCTCGACTTGGCGGAGCAGCCTCGAAGGAAAATCCCAGAAACCTTTGCAGAAAGCTTACAATGAAATTTAAGAAGTTCTACTATTTCGGCGCCATTTTCGAGTGGAGTGAGAGGTGACTTGCGATCTTAAAAAAAAAAAAAAAAGAGGAGGAGGGAGACTTTGTGGCTGGCCTTTTCCCCCAACTAAGACGCTGGTCACTGAGCCTGTAACAGATTCAATTCGAGGATAATCCTGGGGAAAAAAGTTATGTGTCGCGCTGGGTGGGGGTTGGGGGCGGAAAGAGTGTTGGGGGGGGTCAGAAAATAGACTCAGAAGGGTGAACAGGGAGGAGCAGGGAGAGAAAAGTGAGTGGGGGCAGTGGCCAGCTGTCAGCCTCCCCAGGGTGGGGAGCCACTGGTTTTGACAGACTGTAAATGGACTTCAGGCAACTTTCATTTGTGAGCATCAAAGAGTGCCCTGGAAAGAATTGTAAAATTCATTGTACATTTTTTCTCACTAACTAAAACTTTTCGGGTTTGTTTAGCGCTTCCAGTTTATGAAACTCCACCTTGGAAAAGTTTGGCTCGAAGGTGAGGAGGACGTGAACATTGTGCGTTTTGGGTGTGGGGGTTCATGGCGTCTGCAACATTAAAAGACAAAACGTTCTCAATTGGGAAGAGAGGAAGAGGCGTATTCTTCGACTCTTAAATCGTTTGGCCGAACACATCCCAGTTCTGAAGGGGGTGGGGCCATGGCAATTCCAAAGTATTGATTCTTTGTCTATTGTATCAGCGAATGACCCTCTCCAGAAGGGACCAGACGCGTCTTTGTGTTCTCCTTTCGTAAGTAAAGTTCAGCCCAAGGGGAAATACATAAACAGGGGGAGTGAGATGACTTTTGAGGGACATAAGTCGTTCTAGAGTCCCTGGAGGAAAAGAAATGGGTGAAGTAAAATGTATAGATGAATTTGGTTCCGGTTTATTTGTTATCAAAATGATCTAGAAGGACCTTCGTCTTTGAGGCTGATGTTACTTCGAATGAACTTATGTGTTTTTTTTAAGTAGTCAACTAAGGAAATGATAAATTAGGATTGGCTTTAATCTCTCATATTTGTGTGGAACATAAAATTAAATTGGGAGAAAGTTATGTATCTTTAAAGTATAATTATGCCTTTACTAAACATGTTTTTTTTCTCTTTTTAAGGGTGACCATCGATGTTTTTTTTTCTCTCCATTCCGTGTCCATGTGAAAATGATTTGTAATATAGCCAAGACAAGACGGGATTTAGAGACTCGTTCCAACTTAAGGAGTGGAGCTATTATTATTAATGGCTTTACTTATCATGACCTTATGGCTTTATTATCAGTGCATTTGTTAGCGCTGGATCACAATCTGTTGTGTTAGGAATTTTGTACTTAGTTTAATTACATACTCTGTATATTTAACTAATTAATTAGTTAATTAATACGACCCAGCATTCATTGTACTAGTTTTGAAAATCTGACATAATTTTAAATGAAAATACAGGAAATATGGTGACATTAAATCTTTGTTTATGTATATAGAACGTATTTTTACCTTCAAAGGCACTATAGTTTATGGTCTTAATTATTAGGTTTGTGGTCAAGGATTGAAGGATTTTTTTTGTTTGTGCTTTCTTGAATGTTTTGTTTAAACAAAAGGAAATGAATGAATGTAACCTATTGCTCCGGTGTCCATTTTGAAAATCAGAGCATGGTCATGCACAGTGTCGGCCATTTCAAGACATGAGTTTCTGTGGAGTTGCTTAAGAAGGAGCCATTTGACATCAAGTACTTAACGTTCTTGATCTGTGATCACTGATAAATGTAAATGATTTATAAATTAGTTTGGGTAACCAGCAATGTATGAAGACATCTAGGGGTTTCATCTAGAACATTCTCATGCTTTGTCCTTATAACTAATGGCAGACAAGGTGTTTACTGTTAGAATGCAAGAAACTACTAGCCATGAGTTAAAACCAACTGGCCACCCAGAGGGTTTTTTTTAATCAAAAGTTCCTTACATTGATTTCCAATAAATGACCCAAAACTGGAGACAATAAATGACACTTATACAATGCAGCAGGAAGTTTCACCAAGACTTTGGAGCTGGCAAGAGTGATCCAGATGTTACCAAATTGTCTCAATTTAATTAATCTCACTTTTCGTCTACTTTCTGAGGTAAGAGTCTCCCCACCCCTCTATTTGCCCTGCTTTCCACCAATACACTTTCCCAATATTCATGGTGAGGGGGTGTGAAGCCACATACTGCCCCTCGCCAGCAGATCCTGGAAATCGGACAAAAGTATAAGAAGAACTGGCTTATAAAAAGTCCCTCAACTTAGAGTGATAAGTCCTAAGAAGCTTACATTGTACTTAATTTTCCCCTGGGGGCAGGGCAAGGAGAGGCTCTCTTCTCCTCACAGAGACTTTCTTCATTCACAGGTACCCGAGCGACCCCCACCCTCGTTTACTCCGAAGGGATGCAGCAGCAATTCATGTTTTGGAGTATTGTAAAGGTTCAAAACATGAAGCGCTGCCACACCCCTTCGCGGGGAACTTAGAAGGTGGGGGCCTGCAGAACAGACCCGTGTGGGTTCTCCTAAAAGCCCCCAAGCAGGTAGGTGGGAGGGTAGAGGCTTGTCTGTTTCTTTAGTTCATTCTGGACAGGGCCTTAGTCTAGTAAGGGCCACTCTCCACTGTTCAAGGACCCGGGAGGGGGTGACTGCTAAGCAAGCTGGCCATGCACTTGGAGGGGGGACAAGGTACCCTGCAGTCAGCCCACTACACTCAGTCGTGCCCTAGCAGCGTGAACAGTACTGTGGTATTTGGTGTCTGGAGTATTGTTTCCGCTGCCCGGGTAAGTCTGGGACTAACGCCTGGGCACACCCACCAGGTAAGTTACAGTCCATCGCCTGCAGCGTAGGCCCCAATGCGAGCAAGACTCCAGAACAGCTCCAGACTAGAGCTTTTGTGTTTGTCTTCCGTGAAACATTTGCCGACCTGTGAATATGTGACTGGGTGTGACAGACCCTTTGTTGTTAGCACCTCATTGCCTGCCCAGGTAAAACTGAACAGACCTGAAAGAAAGCACTTCCCCATCACCTAGTGAAATACCAACCACAGGACAGCAATGAAGAAAGTTTGTCTTCAGTCCTCAACAACAAGATGGGGAGGGGGTTCCCGAAAAGGAATAAGAAGGGGTCCCAAGGTGGTCAGAAGGGTGACTTGAAGCAATCCCCATTTCTCCGTGCAGTTCGTCCTGAAGGAGCTTAGGTGCTGTATAAAAAAGGACTTTAGGGGTGAGGAAAGATTAAGGGTCCCACAGCTGTGCTAGTGGGGGTATCTCTGGATATCAGGTATCCAAAAGAATCACCTAGCCTTGCTGGTGGTGAGCCCCAGGTGACACTGAGGAACAGTGACCTAACAGTGAGGCTCTACATTTTTATACCCTCTTTGTCCTCATTTCCCAAAGTCATCACACAATTCTACCCTAACAGCTGGGACTCAAGGGACACCCTTCTCACTGCCTGGAAGCTTAGTATTGACAGGCTCTAAGAAAATGGCAAGTAGGACCAGAGGTGTGTGCTGTGACTAATGATCGGGGCCCTCTCATGCCACCTCCAGTCCTTTGAGGAGCCCTTTGAGCCTGCAGTGAGAAAAAGGGGTTCAAGAGTCACCTGGGAATTGGAGAAGAGTGTTAATTACCTGAGCAAGGCCTTACTTTTCCTGTGAAAATCACTTTATATTGTCTGGAGCATGGGAATGTAAAGGAGTATTGGAAAACGGGGTGGGGGGAAATCTCTCTGCTTTGTCATCTTTAAAAAAATAAAATACACATACACACACCCTTCTGGTCTGTATGAGCTGCCTTGTAGTGATCTTCCCCAGGGACTGGGGCCAGGCCCCCATAAAATTTACAGTTAGAGGAGGCCTTGAGCGCCTGGGAGTCTAGCTCTAGTCACCAAATGCCCTTCTCCCAGACTCCCTTGCGCTTGAGCAATGTGTGGGAGGTGGTTTAGGTTCCTTTGGGCCCCCAAGGACCCCCGGGATCCCAGGAGCACCAAGAGCCCTATGGACTTCGGCCAAGCCTTGTCCCCATCCCCCCCTCAACTTTTTGAAGCCACGCCCCCAGTTTCTGCCCCACCCCGCCCCGTGGCAGGGCCCCTCTGTCCAGGAATCCCCAGGGCAAATGGCTAACAGGTTCAGGCATCCGCGTTCCTATGCACTGGATTGGAGGAGGGGCAGTTTGAGACTCCTTACTCTCCCTCACCAGCTTCCCTTCTCCCTTTCCGCTGTTCAACAGGCTTTTCCTTCAAACCAGAGGAAGAGCCCCTGGGTGCATTGAAGGCGCCCACCCATCCAGAAGGATCTGGCCCGCGCCATCCGGCTTCTTCCAGTGGGTGCCTGCAGGACTCAGGTGAGATTCAGGCGGGTTGAGGCAGACAGCAGGGGAGCAAAGGATCCGGATTTAAGGCCATTGCCTTCCAGAATCCAAGATGTCCTTTACCCAAGGTGCCCAAGGGCGCCAAAATTGAGCTCATCCACACAGCGCCTGACTGTGTGCTGCCCTTTTCTTATTTGAAATGCTCTTCGCACCTTTATTTGCTCTGTTATGGTGTGACTAGATTTTCTTCCAAGGGCAAAAATGTGAATAAAGCAATATTTTAGCCAAACACTTCTATGTCAATTAAGAAAATGGCAATTCGTTCCAGACTATAAATTCTCTTTAACAACTCCCTAAGGTATTCTTTTAAATTGTTTTTTCAAACATTGCTAAATGTGCATCATAATGTGTGGCAGACTTGTATAAAGTGATTTCATTTATAGTCGGCTGATTAATTGATCCTCCATTATCACATTCAAAGAGGCATCTCTTTTTCTCATTTTTTGCCCCAACACATGTTATTTGTTAGTGAGGAAGCTGTGTGCACGTGGCATTGTATAAAGTTTATTAGACATACATGGCTCTTAAATCTATGAAAAGCTTAGCCTGGCTCTCAATCTAAACTTCGACATTTCTATAAGTTGTAGGACACGGCATTCAGGTTATTGTGATACACTAGAACTGAGTGTAATTTTGTAACAATTTTAATAACAGGAATAATTCTGAAGGCATCTTAAGTTAGCAGTACTGGTTTTGTTTTGTTTTCTTTTTTCCAACAAGGGAACACTACATCAACAATCTTGGGGATGTGGACACAGAAGACTCCTCTTTCAAGAAAGTACAATCATCTTCCAGACACTAATTTATATGCATTTTACCACACTAGATATTGACAACCACCCAGCTGGGGGTTAAGATATAATCAATCACTAGTGTAATATTATATGTCTTTTAAAAATGTTACTGGAAAGTGTTTTACGGTCTATAAGTCAAAGAATTCGGTCCCACCATGTCATTCTTCCTGCTGTTCCCCCCAATCCAGGCTCCTTTGTTCCAACTGGCATGTTAACTTGTTTTTCCCACCAAATGGGTCAGTCAGGTGTGGCAATGTTACTTGGAAAAACTAGATGCCAATAACCAGGGCCACAGAAAAAGGCAGTGGTTGCAACTCTAAAGCATTTACTCGTGCACACAGACAAGGACAAAGTAGAATCCTAAACAGGAAAACATTTGGATGTGCTCCAGTGCTGGGAGACTAAATAATTGTATGTTGCTTTTGATTCCATTAACATGGGCAACTATCCAATTAAACAAAAACCCAATAAGGACTCTGCAGTGCACATTATTTTGCTGAGTAAACTAAAACACCATAACCTGTCAGTCCATCAAGGAAAGGAGATGGGAATAGCAAGGGACTGGATTTGTTCCTCGAATCCTAGGGAAAATATGATTCTACAAGACAGAAGTTAATTGACAGGCAGCTTTCCCGAGAAACCACGTAGGATGAAAAATACAAATAAGGTTCAAAAAGCATGCTTGAGGAAGATTAATGAATATGTATGATAAGAGATTGGAGGACTTGAACTGGAGGCTATACCAAGTTGACCTTAATTTCTAGAGATCTGTTTTCCCATTGGCCAGAAGCTTGTCTGGTGATCCCAGAAGTTTATATGTTCATCTTTATTCAGTTATTGCACAACTCTTAAAAGAAACACAGAACGTATACACCAATCATGTCAAATACGTATCTTCCTGGCACAGCCTGCATATGTCCGCCCATTAATATCTATTCACCAAGACAATATGCCCTGGCTCTATCCTAATATTTCACCCATCTGCTTCCCCTCCTGGCTTTACAGTTGATCTCAAGGTCAAAAGGACTTAAAGCCTTGTGGGGACCTTAAGCTGCATCATTAAGGAGGAGCCTCTATAGACTTCCACTTCCTGTGCTCCCTGAGTCTTGGAGCACTCCCTTTAAGCTCCTGAGCTCTGTCATCTGAGCAACTGGGGGGAACTGAAGAGGACGCCCTGGCCCCAAGTCTGGGTGGGGGTTGGGAATACTGGTTGCTTTGCAGCCTGAATTTCCAGAGGCAGTGCCCTTGCGGGGCTTTTGCTACCCCTCCCCCACCTCCACTCTGCAGAGTGAAAGGCAGCTTTTTGTGCCCTAGAAACAAAATCTTTGCAATCCTCATCTCAGCCCTTGCCGTTATTTCCTTTGTTCACCTACTTTCCCAACTGCTTTGGTAGATTTGTTGTTTGCAACAACTTTGAGATAAGTAAGGCAGAAAACGTTTCCAGAAACCCAAGGATTCGGAAGATGAAGGATGTATGGGACCCTAGCTGCTGAGGCTTCATCCAGACTTCCTGCTGTACCTGGTCATCAGAGGCCTACACCTTAATGGAGGGAACTAGTATGTTTGGTTAGAAGAGGTCTAGGGGAAACTTCCTAGTTCTAAAATGAGTGAGAGCCAATTAAGTAATGACTATAAGCTACATACCCATGCACAATTCAGTGTGCACGGTCGTAACAATTGTCATTGGAATTCACTTTAAATCTTTGCTCCTTTCTATAGATTCAACTAAATTAAGGGAGCAAATATGAGTTTAGCCATAGGGAATTAGTTTAGCGGAGTCCTCAATATAACCTTTTTAGCCATTACAAAAACTACCTAGAAGCTTAGAAAAATGCTTAAGATAACAAGTTTTTAAATATCAAGGCCACAGAACCACACAGGTTGTACTGGCTGAAAGTAGGAGCAGAAACTGGAGGGACACTGCAGAACAAACACTCCTTTAGCAGGAGAATTACACCCAAAGTTTTATTTTGTTTTTCTTTCTTTAGTTTTGTTGTTGATTCGCTTTGTTGTGCTTTGTTTTTTGTTGCATTGTGAAATGTAACTCTCTGAAAAGTCTTTAAGGGTCCTGGGAAATACAGAAGCTAGAGGCTCTGCATGCAAGGATCTCAGGCGTCTCGGGGATCATCATGTCACGAGATACACTGTGCCCTTGTGACAGATTGATAACTGAAAGGTCTGGGAACCACTCATCTTCCTAAGACCAGGTGGGGTGAGTATTACAAGAGATGAGAAGTCAGGAGGGAAGTGGGCCCTGATCAAGGAGCGGGGTTGCCATGGAGTCGGGGAGGGTAGGAGTTGTATATGCATGGAAGTTTAATGAGAGTCATTTTATTAATTTGCATTTCTGTTCAGTCCACTGAAGCCTAGACAGGGTATATATATATATATATATATATATATATATATATATATATATATATGTATATATATATATATGTGTGTGTGTGTGTGTTTGTGTGTGCTAAATATTAAAACAACAAGTTTTTTGTTCAAACCAACAAGAAAAACACTAGCTGCAAGCAATAGAAACACAAGACCAACTGTAATATGTTGAATCATACAAGTGGCCATGAAGAAATATATGCCACGGAAACAGAAAGTCACAGAAATTTTTAAAGAATTTTCTTTTATTATGTTTAGTGCTATTTATTTATTTACTTACTTATTTTTGAGACAAGGTCTTAAGTAGCCCAGGTTGGGCTCAAACTTGTGTATAGCCAAGGCTCACCTTGAATTCCTTATCCTCCTGATTCTGCTTGTCAAGTTTTGGGATTATAGGTGATTATATATTTTTATTTTTGACACAAGCTCTCACTAAATTGCTCATGAAGGCTTTAAAGTCACTCTGTAGGCCAGGCAGAATTTGAATCTTGTTCATTTACCTCAGCATCCCACATCACTGTGGTTACAGGCCTCTCTTCCACTCAGAAATATGAGGACAAAATTAGGACTGTCCTGAATGATGGACTAACAGTAAAGGGTTGCATTAGAAAATCGGCTTTTCTAAGGCAATGGGATAGCATGCTTTCATTGAAATTGATGTTTCTGAAAATAATTTTGTGATATGTCACAAACACTGATAAAATGTTAAGTGAGAAACATGCAAAATATTTTTCTTCTCTGTATTCTGATTTTACATGCATAGGATCAATATACAGCTATAAGGCTAAGAGAAAAGACATCAAAATATTATGGTTATCTCTGAGCTGTGCTTTAATGTTATTGAAAAAAGATGCTGGGGCCTGGGCGTGTGGTTGAATGATAGAGAAAGAAGAGAAGAAGCCAAGATGCTGAACTGTTTTTGCGATGTGTTCCTAATATGTACTATGAGTATATTGGGGACATTTTGCATTCATGGTTCTGCTTCAATCGTATGGGCTGAAGACAGTTACCTCTAAGCTGTGGCACCACCAGTGACAAAAGAAAGATGCTGAACTCTTTTTGCGATGTGTTCCTAATATGTACTATAATTATATTGGGAACATTTTGCATAAATAGTTTTGTATCAATATATAGGCAAAAGGCTAGAAGAAAGAAGTGGCACGTCTAACTATAATTATTTATGGGTTTGCTTTTATACCAGGAATAAGATGCAGAATTATTTTTGCAGTATGTTCCTGAATACATAATGTAAGCGTATTGGGAACATTTTGCATACGTAATTTTGTATCAATATATGGGGGAAGGAAACATGACAAACTTCAGGAAGAAACACGACAAAATTTTAACAGCACTTATGTCTCTGGCATTACAGGTGATGTTTGGTTTTCTCTATATTTTTATTTTTTCCAAATAATATATAAACAGTGTTTTTCTTTTATATGGCAATAATAAAACTTATTTTATCTTAGTATACAAGAGTCTACATTGTTTTCTTTTGGGGGAGTAGTTGAAACAGGGTCTCCCAATGCAACCCTGGCTGCCCTGGAACTCACTACATAGACCAGGCTCGACTTGAGTGATCTGCCTGCCTCCACCTTCCAAAGTCCTGGGATTAAAGGCCTGTGCCACCACACTTGGCTTTACATTGATTTTCTTTCTTTTTTTTTTTTTTTAGCATGAACCCCCTGTCCTGTGGAGGGGGGATTTCTATGTGCACAGCAGTGGGCCTAGAACACAATTTCCAACCTGTCTAGGGGAAACTTACAGGACCTCCATAGGATCTGAACTGAAGATACATGTTTTCATTTTCTCTGGGCAGAGGTGAAACATAGCCTGCTTTAGCAAATGCAGAAGTTGGAACTAGCTCCTCACTAAAGCCACTGATCTGCATTCAGTCCTCAGAACTGCTGTTCTGTTGTTGCTGTTTATGGGGGCTGGAGAGATTAGTCAGCAGTTAGGAGTGCTTGCTGCCCTTGCTGAGGACGCCTGTGGGTCCCAACACTCACATAGCAGCTCACAAACCACCTCCAGGGGACATGAAGCCTTTTTCTATCTTCAAGAGCATGTAGTGTGTATAATACATACTTGTGAGCAAAGCACTCATATGGATGTTTTAAATATATAATTAGTATTTGAGTTCTGGGGAGGTGGGCACAGGTAGGTCCTTGGGGCTCCAGCTGAATTGGCGAGCCCTGTGCCCCAATGTGAGTCCTTGTCTCAAAAAACAAGGTGGAGAGCTTCTGACGAATGAAACCTACGGTTGTCCCCTGGCCTCCATACACTCTACATACACAAACAGGCACACACTAAATGAAGAAGAAAAAGCAACCAAACAACCATGATGGCTGGGTGTGGTAGCTCAAGCCTGTAATAACAGCACTCAGGATGCTGAGGGGGGTTTGTTGGAAAGTTTGAGCTGAACCTGCATTACAGAGTGAGACCCCCTCTCAAAACACTGTATCCACACAGGGTAACACTAGTGAATGCTAACCAGAGTGCTAGCTTTTATCTGATCTGTTGTTAAAATGCCTAGGTTCCCGCTCAGGGAACCAATGTTGTTAAAATGTTTAGGTTTGTCCAGTAAGGAGACACAAACCGTGACTCAACGATCCCACGTGGAGTTTATTGGTGGACAGGGAAGGAAAGGGGGGTGAGAGGTAACCAACCCGGACAGAGGTGAGAGAGGAGAGAGAGATAAGACATGAGAGAGAGAGAGAGACAGAGACAGAGACAGAGAGACAAAGAGATGAGAGTAAAAGAGAAGATAAGATGGAGAGGAAGAGGAGAGTAAAAAAAGAGCGTAAACGGGCAGGGATCAGTCCTTTAAAGGGGTCCTTTGCACCTGCGTGGTTCTCACAGAACTCTGGGCTGGCCAGAGAGCTGCCTGAATGTGTCCTGCCAGGTAACAGGGCAGGCCAGAACCTTTCATAATCAAGCACTCTAAAATGTAGAGAGAGTTGAAAGTCACAAATTTTCCTTCAGGAAGGAGGCACTTGGATGATTGCCCATGGCCTCAAGACACACTGGCTAGTTTGAGAAATGCCTGAGCCAGGGAAAATCCTTCCACAAAGCCCACTTTAATGGACATA